AGATCTGTGTGTGAAAGAATATAACCATCGATCAATGGATGCGAATTACTAGAATCGACAAACTGGCTGACTTCCAAGATTTCTTAAAGAGAAACACACACAAGAGGCATCAACAAAAAGAATCTAAAACTTCAAATTAGATTAATTAACAATTACAATTATAGCATTTTATTTATTTGGTTTTACGCTACACATTTAGGACTTTTATCTTGAATTATATAATTTTGTAAGTCTCTGAATAATTTTAACATTATATATTTGAATACAAACTGTGTGTCATTTCTATTTATCGAAATGTAATGTGCAGAATTTTCTCAGAGAAAATCTCACACGAGAAAGATAATTTTGTATTTTAGTAAACAACAAGATCAGAGAAAGAGTGTTGATTCTTATATATTATTAATAATTACTAGTAGAGTTATTGATTATTGAAGTGATAATAGACTTTAGTTATTAATTAAAAAACTTTATATTTTATAGTATCGAGAGAGAATATAAAATTACACGTGTGTTGAAGTTTACTATAAAAGCATAAGATTTATCGCGTTTATAATGATTAAAAAACCTATACATATATATATATATACATATAATATATTCAGAACACATTTTCGTTTACATCTCAATAGATAGATTTGAATATGTTTTGTATGCCATATGTCTGTCTCTCCATTATCATCTTCTTCTTATCTGTCTTTCTTAAAGATACGGTTTCTGTGTGTGATGATGTTATCTTATAACAGCTAAATATAGTGAATACTCTAACCAGCTTCAGTCAACAAATGATACCGATGCGCGCACTTGTATCACTTATACTTGACGTAAGAATGCGAGACTCGGTTATTGTTTACCCTATATTTTTTTCTTCTCATTTGTTTTTACGAACATTTTAGTCGTAAAATCTTTTTTAAGACTTGTTAGTGAATAATGATATTTTCCAAATGAATAATGGATTCATTTTTGAGACATTCCCTCACTCGTATTAGATACAGTATTACGTAAATTGTATATATGAGAGAACACTGCGTTCGGTATTGTTTGTGGATATTCGTCAATACTTACTAATGTTACCACACAAGAGCCGTGGTACGAATTGTGGCGTGCACTGTTATCTACCTACTACTTGCAATAGCAACGTTCCGCGCGTCACGTGGCGGGGAGTTCTCCCACTTTCCGAGAACAAGGCATCACTGCTGCTAGTCATTACTAGCGAGAGAGACTCGTTAGTAGTCTATCGCGAATCAATGTGATAGTTACTGCGTTAAGTTCTTGTAGATCGTAATTTGTTTAGAACTTACTTATTTGTGTGTATTTTTGTGTTTGTGTGATTTTAGAACATAAAAGAGATTATCGTTTAAGCAAAGCAAAATTAAGTAATTTTTCCGTTGAATGTGCAATATAGATCGAGAGATAGTCAGTTTTCGATTTTTGTTCGTGAGGATATTCTATGTATTTGTAAGAATAAGTGTTGGTAAGGACTAAATAATCCATACGATTGTTAAGAACTGTTAGTTGCTTTCAAGAAAAGGAAATTCATTAAAACTGATGAATAAGTGATTTCTGTAATTGAACAAAAGTAGTTATCAGTCGTGTGTGTGATCATCAGAAAATTAAAAAATTTCTATTTTTTAAACTTTGTATATTTTTTTACTGAGTGCCAAATATTAGTAATTTTTTTATGAACAAATTTAATAGTTATCAAAATATTTGCATACATATTTGTGCAAGGTATATAAGGTATTTATCAGAAAGTAATCGTAGCTCAGTATTCTCTTTTGTGTGTGTATATGTGTGTTATAAAAATATGAAGAAAATGTAATACATGTTATTAATTCAACTGTAAGTGTGCAGTGATTTTTATAAATAGTCTTTATGAACAATAATGAAAAGAAAAAATAGTTATACTGTAAGATTATATTGATTCTATGTAAAACAATGTATCACTTTAAGAAAGTATAAAAAATGATTGAACTTCTGTTCTATAACTGTTCACGATATTCGATTGTTATGACATTATCGAGTGCCACAATCTCTATTTAACATAACGTGATGTTTGAACTTGTCTCGAAGAAAGATATTGTGTATTTTTATAATTCACTTTTCAAAGATATATGATTGGGAGAATAAACTATTATATTTTATACTATTGCATTAAACTATTATATTTGAGAAAAGAAATCTTTTTTTCTTTTGGAATTTGTATACATACGTACATATATATATATTTATTTATTTATTTATTTATTTTTACTATAACTGATTTTTAAATGACAACAAAATATAGAGAAAAAATTTATAAAAGAATTTTTTGTTATTTAACTATTATACGATTTTTTTAGACGTAAAAAAGTACTTAGTTTATATAAATATTATATATATAAAATGAAAAATCTGTGGAAATATTAAAAAATAGCATAAGGTGATTTCTGATATAATTAAGAAAAACCGGATCGGAATCTATATGGCTCGTATCGGCCTTATTTGATTCCTGTTAGGAATCTATAGAGTTTGATGAAAACTTGAATAAAGCAACAATAATCTGATTTTGGTCTCGATATTTTGGCATATCAAACGGGTCGGAAATATAGTATTCTGATATTTTTTGGAACACTTTACTAATCAACCGATCCCTAAATCATGGCTCCAGCAAATACTTTCGACTGGTCGGAGCTGATTCAACCATGGCAGTATCGAAAATTCTGCTCAGCCGGTTAGAAAACAGAGTATCCTAAAAGTACCATGGAATTAAGCGGCAAGGAAGCCAACACTGCTTACAAAAAGTTCTGCAAATTTCTGCATCGATTAAGTAACAAGAAACGTAAGTGCAGTCTTGCGGTCGGAATTAAATGACATGTATTCGAAAATTTTAAACTTTACGCATGTGGAAGGTGTTACTCTATATATGTATATATATATGTATGTATGTATGTATATATATATATATGTAATTTATTTATATATATTACAAACTTCTCGTATTCTTTCATACTAGATAAATGTTGATGAAAGATATAAAAACATTAGTAAAATAAAAGAATTTAATATTATTAAATAAAATGTGAATGTAACCAAGTATGTACATATATGAGCTGACACACATTAGGGCATCATAGAACGAACTGTGACACCTTTATGTCACTACTTTATAGCAAAATCAGCCAGAACGACTACACATTTATACATTGGCGTATCACAAAACGTCATCTAGTGTTCAGGACGAATTCTTGCCAATATAATTTCTCGAGCGTCGACTGACGTTCACGTCAATGACGTATTTAATAATATCGTTCAACGTCACCTGTCGTCTTTGTGTAACGGGAACGCATAATCATCTGACATTTACACTTCCTCTCGGTAGTGTCGGTATTTACTCCTGCTTGTATATGTACTTGGCATAGTTTTTTTTTTTTTTTTTTTTTTTGTCTATAATATTCTCTTCTATAATCATCTCCAGAGAATTATCAAATCGAGAAAGAAATCCAAAGACAAAATCGTAGAAAGAAACGAACATCTGTTATTATCGCGATCTGTTATTTCAAAAAAATTATTTTTGTCACAACACTACTAAATACTAGTTTAAAACTACGTCAAGACCGGACGCAACATTGATAACACGTGTTGACAACACGTTATCTCATTTTTTTTGTTGGCGTGGCAACAATGATACGAATTGTTTCCGGCTGTTGCCAACAATATTGCGCTGATCTACACGCAACTTTAAAAGTCAAACGAACAAATAAACATTTACGGACATAAGAAGTCTAATCGCAAGAGACATCACTTTCAAATATTGTTTTCTTTTTTTTTTCTTTTTCTCTGACATGATTTAAGTCTTTTTTGGTTTCCCTTTTTTTATTTTTACATTATTCAATCTATTTCGTTTAACTGAACGTGATTACCTCTAACGTATAAAAAGAGAGAAGTTCACTTGATAGACTGCTCATCGTGAGGGGAATATTCTCTTAAGCCGCGAGAACTACCGTGAAATCCAATACGTGTTTTCTCTGTGGTTTTTTTTTACTTCATAGGAAGGGGTTACCATACCCACACATGCAACACACACACACGTGAAAGGTCAAAATCTCCTTCGATGCGCGCATAACGCGATAAAAGAGTTGCAGAGCGCACGATGCAGCTGCTGCACCGCTTCGTTAAACTTTTTGTCACATACTGAAATTAGTTAGCTAGTTTATTAGTTCGCTAGTCGGCTAGACGATTATCTAGTCTCGATCATCGAGGCTTGACCCATTTTTCTCATAAATAATATAACAATTGCTTTTCTTTTAAAAATGATTTAAAAAGATCTTGACAATATTCTGATAAAATTTATAAATTTCTTTGACGCTCTCTCGCGCCATTTAAAATATCTCGTAAAACTGGTCGCGCAAAATAAATCTAAAATAAGAATAAAATTTGTCAAATGTCATTTTAAAATGAAAAAGCATTGTGTGTTTAAATGGTCGATCTTATTTGAAATTTTTTCTTCATGAATATACCGGTAATGTTTGAAGAAACATTTTTAGAGCAGATACGGACAGATTGTAAAGAATGTATGCCATTGATGACTTGTTCACACTTCTTGATCAATGAGTAGTGAGAAAAAAATAAGAGAATGGCGATGTACATGTTCACTTGTACGGTATTTACGTAAACCAGAATTCTCACCTTGATTCTAAGGTGATTCATTGCACATATGGAAAATTCATTTCTTAGAATTAGTAAGATTTCCGTTTCATCGCGTCGTCAATAAAATATCGTAGATCTTTAATAAACCTTTCTGTGAAACGTAAAAATATTTTCGACAACGAATAATTAATATGTATTTTTTCAAGGTAAGAGAATTCTCGCAAATCGACTCTTGAAAAGGTGACGCGCGTGACTTGCAAACAATTTTCTCTGCTTTTAACAAACGCTTGAAAAGTTTTCCGCTTTTTCATATCATAAGATAATGACTCTTTTCCGATTTATTCTGACGGATGATGTGACATTTTGTTTTGCAGGTAAGGATGGCAGCAAGGTGACGACCGTGGTAGCGACACCCGGTGCCGGATCGGATCGTCCTTTAGAAGTTACATATACCGACACCAAAGTCATTGGCAATGGCAGCTTCGGCGTGGTATATCAGGCCAAACTTTGCGATTCGGGCGAAATGGTCGCTATCAAGAAAGTTCTTCAAGATAAAAGATTTAAAGTAATAAAAAAAGAAGTAATACAAGTTAAAAAACCTACTATATTTTTTTATTTTGTTAATTTTATTTTATTACAAATAAACATAAATGTGTGTGAAAAACAGTTGCTACAACAAGCTTCATCGTGATGATTTTCAGAACAGAGAATTACAAATCATGCGACGTCTCGAGCACTGCAACATTGTGAAACTGAAATATTTCTTTTACTCCAGTGGTGATAAGGTAACTAATCTTATCTTTGGGCATTCATTAATTTCTAAACGAAAATTGAACTTTCTCTATCTGTTTCTTCTGCAAACTTTCTTTTGCAAACCTCGTCACATTTTTTTTCTCGTAAAAAATCTTTGTGAGGGAACGACATAAATTATTAAGTAGGCAACGTTTTCAATCAAAATATGTGTAGAGCAGCATTCTGTTGAGCAGCGCGTGATTATCAATTTTATCATTATCAGTTTGTTACATAATAATGTGAGCCTATAATTAGAACGAAAGATCGTCGTTTAATGCATGCCACATTGGTATGTTATTTTATAGAACATCTTATCCGCAACTAATCCAGTTTTTCACGTTGACGTAAGTTGAAAACGTACCCAACAGTAGTTTGTGCAAATGACCTTATAATGACAAAAGGAGATTGTAGATACAACTTTTCGCTTTCACATAAACAAAATAAACATTTTTTTTTTTGTTCAGTTTCGTATTTTTCTTCTTTTGAAATTATCACAATTTCTAATGAAATAAAAATTTCACTCGTGACCTCTCTCTGAAATCTATAGATCGTGTTGCTTTGCTAGTTAGTACATAACATTTTTAAAGGCGTGTGTTAATAACAAAAGAGAGAAAGAGAGAGAGTTTGAATGAGTGAATGAGTGTACGTACGTGCGTGCGTACGTGTGTGTGTATATACAAACATTGAAATGAGTGTCTAAAAAAAATAATAATAACATTAAGCATATAGAAACTCTGACAAATTTAGAATGTTATAACGCTATTATGTATATTTCTTCTCTTACGGTAGTATATTGAATGTATCGTTAATTGTATCGTTTTGGAATAGTGTGTCTTCAAAATGACATATATTTGTAGATTTTTTTGCGTCCTGAACATTATTATAATCGAATTTTCTTTCTTTGTTTTTTTTCTTTTTTAGAAGGACGAAGTTTATCTCAATCTAGTCCTGGAGTACATACCTGAAACTGTGTATAAAGTTGCTCGACATTATAGCAAAAGCAAGCAGACGATACCAATCAGTTTTATCAAGGTAAATTAAATTTAAAACATTTGTGAGATTCATAAAAAGAGTTATTCAGAATAGAATTTATAAATTGAATGCAATCTTTAATTGTATTCAGTTAAAGTTTTTATATTACATATGTTATGTGTTACACTATTTATATTACATACGTTTATGTTTGTACGATACAACGCATATACTTAGAACAGAGAACTAATGAGAAAATAACGTGTTCATAGTATAATCGTTTTGTTTTGTATTTTGCAGCTGTACATGTATCAACTGTTCCGTTCACTAGCATACATCCACTCGCTAGGTATCTGTCACAGAGACATCAAACCACAGAATCTTCTCCTAGATCCTGATACCGGCGTCTTGAAACTATGTGACTTTGGCTCTGCCAAACATTTGGTTAAGGGAGAGCCAAATGTGTCTTACATCTGTAGTCGCTATTATCGTGCACCTGAGCTTATCTTTGGTGCTATTGATTACACCACAAAAATTGGTGAGCTGAAAAGTGTAGCGTAATTTTGTTTGTGAAGATGAAGTTTTTTTTTCTTGTTTATGCGCGCTGTTTTTCTTTGAATATTTTTATTCATTGAAATTATTCAATTTTCAGAAGGTAACTTTTGAAATCTCTCACATCTTATAAGAGAAAATCTATTCTCAAATTTCTTTTTTTTAGATTTTCTTTATTATATTATTATAATTCTAACATATAATGACTAATGAGATATTTTCTTATTATTTTCTTGGCAGATGTTTGGAGCGCAGGTTGTGTGCTAGCAGAGTTGTTGTTAGGTCAGCCAATATTTCCTGGAGACAGTGGCGTCGATCAGTTGGTAGAAATTATTAAAGTCCTCGGTACGCCTACGCGTGATCAGATACGTGAGATGAACCCCAACTATACTGAATTCAAATTTCCACAAATTAAATCGCATCCATGGCAAAAGGTAGAGTTTTTATTTTATTCATAAATAATTCCCCAATATTATTACAAATACTGTTACAAATATTTTTTATATATATATTTATTTATATTTATATTTTATGTGTGTATATAAATATACATGTAAATATTTGTGTATCTACATATATAAATACATATATGTACTACGTACATACACATTAATGTGTATGTTGAGATCGTCTTATTTTATGCACAAGTAACAATTTTATAATTAATATGTTATTAAGATAATTTTATCATTAATATGTTATTAATATGTTATTAAAGAGTTTTATCTCTTGAATTCCATTTTATTTTCAAATATGAAGAACATTTTTTTACAAATACAATGTGGTTTTGAAAATACATTTGTGTTACTCTGGATAATAAAACAAAAATGTTTTTTTACTTCTATTAACAAAACATCAGAACATATCAGACCATAAATTTGAGGTAACATTTATATGAGAACATATACAGCATATACTTTTTTGGAAGAAAGTATTTTTTTATATCTAAAGTTTGATCGATGGCTTAAGACCTCTATACTTTTCACAGCCAGTTTAGATTCTGACGTCAGAAATGATAAAATAATTATTGAAATGTATGTAAAACTGAAAGAATATTTCTACATAAACTCACTTTTAATTAATAAACTATACCGAATGGTTTTCTTTTGGTTTAACAACAAAATCATATCAGTAAAATTGAAAATCAAAACCAAATAAAATAGCGCGCGACATGCTGCAAACTTTTCATTCAGTTTTTGTTTTTAAACAAAAGAAAAATCATCTGATATTTTTACAAAAGTGTCTTATTGATTAAAAGTGAATTAGTGTGGAAATACTCTTTTATCTTTACATATTAATAAATTTCAGTAATTATTGTTTTGCTTCTGACGTTAAAATCAAAGAAACAGCTATGGAAGTGTCGAAGAGTCTTAATAATGCCTCGATCGTAATATCATTTATCAATATATGTACTCGTGGTTTGCAGTATATGCTTCAACGAATGAGTGAAACACCTGTGTGTTCCACGGAGTACCAGAAGATTAGAGTAAGTGGTTCAATTTGTGCACCAAGTGTTCTTCAATATATCTCAAATATTCTTCTATCTTTTTTAGAGTTGTACTAACATATCCAAATAAAATAACATATAAACTTCCATTTCAGGCAATCTATCGCAAAGTTTTTCCCAGTCTACTTAGATGTTAATTTAAAAAAAGACAAAAAGGAGAGAAAAAGAAAGTGATCACTTCGTTACTTATCATCATTCTTATTTGTAATCTATTATTTTCTTCAAGTCATTCCTCATATTGCTTAATTTATTTCAAAATAAAGCTATTGACGTACTTACTAATAACTCTTATATGTAACTTATATTTTTTACATTTGTTTGACGACTGAAAATAATTGAGGTTTTTTCATTCACTTACTCTAATGTTCTGAAGATATTTGAGATTTGCGTTTTTTTCACATTTGAAAGAATGAGTAACATAACTGTTGCCTTTCATGTTCTATCACGCAAAAGGAAAAAGTGCTTGGAATCTGTATTATTCATCTTACAATTAGATACATATACATGTTCTTACATCATATTTGTGTGAATATGTTGAGCTGATACAGCACATATTTGAATAAATGATGGGTCATAATAAGAATAAAAAGTAAATACAACCTAAAGTTTTTTCTCTATAACGTTACATTATTATATACACACATTGTCTCTTTTCAAGAATTTT